CAGGTTCTCCTTTCCCGAGAGGGAAGGAGCCCATCCATCAGTCGGGGTTCAGCCTCATGCTTGGTGGAGAGGCGGCTTCGGCCTCACGCGTTGCGAGCGAGCGGCTTCTCGCCCCGGGGCCGCCTCACACTGTCTGAATGCGGCGCCTCTCGCCCTCCGGGCTCTCTCCCTCCCTGCAGTGGGGCAAGACGACCTGCGAGTCGACCGCCTCTTCCCCGCAGGGCCTGACGAGCGGCGGCCCCCTCCCCCGGCGCCTGCCCGCCTGGGAGTGCACCGAGGTCGCGAGGCGGGTCGAAGCGCTGCAGCTGAAGCCGGTGGCGGCGGCCGCTAGGGCGCAGGCCAGGATGCACATGAAGAAGCTGGGCCCGAAGGTGGAGGTGAGGCGAAGGGGCTGCAGTTCCTTCTCCGTCTGAAGCCTACTACGCGTCACCTCGAAGAGGCAGGAGCACAGCGCCGCCGCGCCCAGGGCAAGCAGCGCGGCCAGGCCGTGCAGGAACGGGGCGGCGGCGCGGCTCTGCCGCAGGCCCAGGAAGTCCAGCAGCAGGGCGCCGCAGCCGCTGAGGATGGCGACGAGGCAGCAGATCGCTATGGACTGCATGAGGGGCACCCCAGCCGGGCCCAGGAGAGGCGAGTCGGGAGGGGGCGCTATGGGGTTAAGGGCCCAGACCGCTCCTAGCACGAACTGCGCCTCGTCACCGCTGACCAGGACCCAGCTGGGGTAGGCCCCGGCCAGGAACATCAGCCCGACGGCCAAGGCTTGGGCCACGACCGCTGCCAGGCTGCCCGTCCGCCTGCTGCCCGCTAGGCCCCGGAGGAGGCTGCTCGGATCCTCGGGACCCTCCACCTCCATGGAGCCGGGGCAGGGAGGACGAAGGACAGACGGCTCCGCGCCCGCAGCTTCCTGGCAGCTGTGCCCCGCCCCTGCCGCGCCGGGCTGAGGCCGGAGCTCCGATGGCCCGGGCGGAGGCAGTGCTAAAAAAGGGGAAGGGGGAACAACCTGCTGCTGTACGGCGCGGGACGGGGATGCGCTGCCCGCAAATCCACGACTTCCCCGCAGGGCCAGGGCCAGGGCCAGGACAAGGCGCAAGGTTTGCGAGGTACTTTGCCAGCTCGGTAAATAAATCCCCTAAAAGGAGATGCGTCCGCCTGAAGGACCCTGCGGGCTTTTGTCCCTTCTTCATTTTGTTAGTAAGCTAGGGGAGGAGGGGCCGGTTTTAGACTTTGTTCTGCCTGTAGAAATGTCCCGCAAGGTACAGCCTGACCTTGCCTGATGGTAACAAGGACACGGGTTTCATTTCTTGTAAGCAGCACATACAGCTAAAAAAACCTAGTGCAGATAAAATTAGAAAGAAAGCTTTGCAGTTACCAGTTATTTGTGGAATTACCAGGTTAATAGCTTTTTATTCAACATCGCTTTAAAAAAAATATGTTGTTTGGCAGCCTTTCACATGAAAAAAATTCCAGTTACTGAATGGTTTACAATATTGTTCACATCCAGGTCTCTGGTTTTAGTTGTCATAATCTAAGTCAGGTTAGTAGTAATCAAATTTACTTTAAATCCACTTCCAATCAACTGACAAGAAATCATTATGATCTGATGGTGGATCCGTGCTCTGTGTAGGAATGAGTTTGATTTTAGTTCAGTTCCTGTTAGCTGGGCATCTGTGCAAGGTCTGCTGCTATAATTAGCCTGAATTGGCAATCTAAACAGACTGAATGACTGAACAGGTGTGGAGGAGGTTCATCAACTCTTATCCACAAAGGTAAATCTACTCAGAGTTGGAGCTGTGTGACAACTAATATTTTATCTATTATGTGAAAATGATTTTATTATGAGCCTCTGTGAGCATTACATTCATGGGAAGAAAAATATCTTTTGCTACCTACCTTTTGAGTAAAATTCATATTTTTGTGTCAGCAAAACTGCAGGGTTAATTCAGTGAAACATGAGAGAGAAAGATGTTATGCTTATAGAAGACTTTTTAAAATATTAGTTTTGTATTATCCAAGGCAGATGTTTAAGTATTTTGGAAGGATGAGACTCTTAATATTAATTTGTCATTGCACTGTAAGTAATATGATTTGCTGACTTTTTCAAGGCTGCCATAATATTAGTGTCTAAGAATGCATTTGAATTTTTATTCCCGTGACTTGACAAATTATAAATAAACCAACATAATCCTGTCTATGTGGAAAATGTACACAACACTGGGTATTTGACCTAGAATGTCTTTAGGCTTATCAGTGTAACAGATGGTAGATCACAGTGCCAGCCACGAAATCCCTCAATGCATCCACTTTCTAATACTTGGAAACTCTGTTTTTCCCACCTGCTATCCTGGAGTGGCGATGTTCTGGATCTTCCATTTTAATTCCACAGCCTTCAAGTCCCACATTGCAGTCAGAGCCTTCCTGGTCCTGGACTGAACTCTCTTCAAATCCTTGTTCATGGATTCATAGACATTAGGGCTGGAAAGGACCTTGTAAGATCACGTCCAGCCCCTTTACCAAAGGGTAGGAAGTCGGCTAGGGTCAAAGGATCCCAGCAAGATAAGCATCCGAAAAGATACTTTTTTGTTCCTTAGAAGTGTCCAGAGTAGGTGCTTGCACCACCTCTGTGGGGAGTCTGTTCCAGGCCTTGGGAGGTTGCATAGTTTTTCCTTATGTCCAGCCTGAAACTGTCTTGCGGGAGTTTGTGACCATTGGACCTTGTCATCCTCTTGGGTGCTCTGGTGAACAGGTGTTCCCCCAGATCCTGATGCACTCCCCTGAGGTACTTACAGTCTGCCACCAAGTCCACCCTGAGCCAGCGCTTTTCCAGGCTGAAGAGTCCCATAGCTCACAGCCTCTCTTCATAAGGCCTGCTCTCTTGCCCTCCGTTCATGTGTGTGGCTCTCCTCTGGACTCTTTCAAGCTTCTGCATGTCCTTCCTGAATTGTGGAGCCCAGAATTGGATGCAGTACCCCAGCTGCAGCTTCTCCAATGCCGAGTACAGCGGGAGGATAACATCCTGGGTCTTGCTCGAGATGCACTGGTAGATGCAAGCCAGAATTTTGTTTGCTCTGCCAGCTGTGATATTGCATTGGTAGCTCACGTTCATCTTGTGGTCAATTGTGACCCTCATATCTCTTTCAGTTACGGTGCTAGTGAGTGTAGCATTGCCGAGCCTATAAGTGCGATGTGGGGTTTTTTCCCCTGGGGTGGAGCACCTTGCATTTCTCTGTATTGATCAGCAGCCTATCCTCAAGTGTGGATACTCTTCCCCAAAGTTTAGTGTTGTCAGCGAACTTGGCCAGTCCACTTCTGACACCAAAGTCCAGATAGTTTATAAGGACATTAAAGGGTACAGGTCTGAGATCAGAGCCCTTGGGGGACACCACTGGTCACCGAGTGCCATTTTGATTCGGTTCCATCAACTACCACTCTCTGGGTCTGACCTTAGAGCCAGTTCCCCAGCCATTGGACTGTAGTGTAGTCAAGGCCACAGTTGCCCAATTTTTCCACAAGGATATTGTGGGATACCAGGTCAAAGACTTTCTTAAATTCCAAATATATGATATCAACCTCTTTCCTTTTGTCCAGACGATACGTCACCTGGTCATAGAAGGAAATGAGATTGGTCAGGCAAGACCTACCTGCAACAAATCCATGCAGGCTGTCCCTCAGGATGTAACCTTCTGTTAGCCTGTCAAGAATGATTTCTTTGATCATTTTTTGATAATTTCTGTAATGATTTGTTGACCCTCCCTCATTTAATGAAAAAAATTTCAACTGTGTGGAATTCGTGAAAATGCTGAATGCTTCCAGTCGATTTTTTTGCTTTTTAGTTCCTAAAGATTAGTAACTGGTGTTAAGTCTGATCTTGCTTCCATTTGCAGATAAAAGCAGGTGGCAAAAAATCTTTACTCTTGTACTGGTCTTTACTACTGAGATTAATTTTACCCTTAACACAAATGAAAATCCATAGAGAGCATTTTCCTATAAGGCAGTTTGGGGAAATGAAATCCAAATAGACCGGCTCTATATTAGTTCCATTTTGTTTTGCCTTGTGTTTCTTTATTGACTGAACAGCAGATCAGGGTTTAGTAACTAATTGTAGTGGCATCAGTAAATTTGTTCACCAGTTTCCTCCCCTTCGGCATAAGTAAGTTACTTCATCATTGTGAAAATATAGTAGATAGCTTGCTTGTATGTTGAAGTCCTACCGTGCCTTGTTTAAATTTACAGGTTTAATCCTACTTGTTTGATAAGGTCACTGGTGGTTGCCTTGATACTCTTCAGGTGGAGCCCTGACTTTATGTGATAAATACAAATAGCTGCAGTGTATGAAGCTGTGGGCCATTTCCTATGTTACTTTAAAGGCTCTTAAGTGTATTTATCCTTTAATTTCTCATAAATGGTAATTTTAATTTTACTCCAGCAAGTCATCAGTTTGTACAGGACTAGTATTAGAAAACAGCAAAATCACTAGTAGTTGGACATGCACATAACTTTGTGAATATTCAATAGATTCCTTGAATTTAGGATCTACGGTGCATCTCTGCCAGTGTTAGTAGAGATAAAAACACAAGAATAGGATGGCCAGAGATTTTACTACCCGGTCATCTTACTCTGGCCAGTCTCCTGCTGTTCCTCCTGCTGTAACAGCAGGGGTGCGACCACTACTTCAAAAGAGATGAGAGGATGCACGCTCTCTTCTTTTTCATGTGCACCGTGACTTAACTATGAGAGCAGTTTGAGGGAAAAGCCCTGAAGCCGTTGTTGTGCTCCGCTTCCAGCGGACCCTGCAGGCCACCCTCGGCGCTCAGGGAGGGGAGCACGGGGTGTCTGCATTCGCTTCAACTGAAGCCAAGGTTTCGCCTTTTGTGTCGGAGGAAGAGAATGCGCATCCGCGCGCGATGACGAGGCCGGCGAGACCGTTGGTGGCCACGAGCCGAGGTTCGAAAGTGGCGGTCCGAGCCGGCCGTTTACTTTCGAACAGCGCGTTCCGCCGCGGTTGGATGCAGCGGCGCATGCGCGCGGGGCTCCGCAGCCTCTGCCTGTCCGCCGCCGGCCGCAGAGGGCTGCTGTCGGCGGCGGGAGACTAACGAGTCAGCGCGGGCCGGTGAGTGCCCGGCTCCGGGGGCGGCGCGGCGAGGCGAGGTGAAGGGATACATGCGGGGAAGGGGCACCGGCATTAAGTGGGGTGTGGGCCCCGCATCCACTGACTGTCACCGGCGCCGCGCAGGCGGCTTGCCTCGCGCTGCCCAGGAATAATGGCTGCCCGGGGCGGGGGCACGGCCAAGAGCTGGCATCTTTTCGGGGCGTCTGAGTCTCCCGAGTCGGAGACGGTGCGGACCCGCTGGTGGGTGCGGAGGGCCACGGGCGTGGCCACAGACCGGATCCAGCCGACTGGTGGGCGCCCGCTTCGGAGCCGGAGTCACTTGGCGGGCTGGATCCAGCTGGTGGGCCACATTTTGCCTGCCCCTCCACCAGCTTAATTAGGTTTCACTGATTATGAGCATATATTTATGTAAGGGGAGGGTCACCCCTTGCACGAGGAAGGAAGTGGGGGAAAAAACAACCCCTGTCCTTGGCAGTGTGACCCAGAGGGGGAAGAAATCCCTTTTTGACCCCAAATCTGGTTGCTAGATTAGAGTCTGAATAAGTAAGCAAGTCCTTCCAGCCAAGCACCTGAATGCTTTTGAAAGGCTGATGGGAACACCAGCACACCTTGGCAAAATTGGCTGTTGGCTTCTAGGTGTGGTGAAAAGGGAAAGACCAACCCCCTGCCCCCCCCAAAAGAGAAGCTAGCTAAAATATTGCAGGTGGGAGGGGCATGCTCAGTTCCTCCTTATCCATGAAGGTGATGAGCAGAAGCCCTGAAACTGTTGCCAGCACGGATCCTGATGAAAAAATCACAAATTCTCTATTTAAAAAACCTAAAATCTGTGATAAAAATTAAAGCCCCCTCCCCCCGTCCTGCTAGTGCCCCTCGCTCCCCCACAACAGCCCTCCAGTCTCCCACATGCAGGCACAGATACAGACACAAACAGATCCACACACACCCCAGTAGGTAGGTGTAGGGGAGGATGGGGCAGGGGTGAAAGGAAGGGGTGGGGGGGGGCAGATTGAAAATGTGGGAGGAGAGGAACATCTCTGTGCCTGCTGGAGGGGTGGGGGTGAGGGTAGCAGTGCCCCTCTGTGGGCCGCACACCACCCAGCCAGGGAGGGGGGAAGCTTGCGTGCGGCGTCTCCCCCCACACACACACCGCCACCTCTGCGGGGGAAGTGGCTGGGGGGGGGGGGGGGGGGGGGGGGTTGG